GGAGACGCCATACTCACATCAAAGATAAGGGAGAAGAAGTTTAATGCACTTGTTTTGAGGACACACGAGAGGATGTCAGCTGTACTGATTGTCTGTGTCTCTGGCCGTGACTATTCCCCTTGTGAATCTCTCCGCTGGCTGCCTTTTGCCCTCCACATTGCATCTCGGGGGGAAATCCTGCATCCAGGAATTCCATAGGCATTTTGCTAAATCCCTACCCCCAGTTTCTTGTCTTTGCTGTCAGTGGCCTGGATGACTTCTAGCTTGCCTACTGCTCCCCCCATCCTTAATCTACTCTATTTGTTCCACAGCTGAAGCCCATAGGTAGCAGGTTTAAAACAAACAAAGGGAAGGTTTTCTTCACACAGCGCACAGTCAACCTGTGGAACTCCTTGCCAGGGGATGTTGTGAAGAGCAGGGCTTTAACAGGGTTCAAAAAAGAACCAGATAAATCAATGGAGGACCCTAAGTCCATTAAGTCCATCAATACTTATTAGCTACGGTGGGTAGGAATGGTGTCCCTAGCCTCTGTTTGTCAGAGGTGGGGAATGGGATCACTACCCTGTTTTCTTCTTTGACTTGGTGCTTTCCCTGTTGTTGCCTGCTACTTTGGGATGTGGTGGTTAGGCCTTATCCTTTAGCTCCAGCTCTACAGACTCATGCATTTAGTTCAGAGACCTTCCTCTCCGTTCAACGCTTGGTGTATTTGCCAACCTGGCTCTTGCCCCACTAAATTCCGCTGAAAGCAACACTTCCCACTGCTGATTTGTCCAACACCCCTGAGCTTGTGAGGGGAACTAGCTGATGGGAAGAGAGGAAACCTAGAAAGGGAGGGGACATGCAGAACATAGGGATGAGCCTCAGCACTGAGCAATGTCCCTGCACACAGAGATCTTTGGTTCCTGTGGAAGGGGTAGCTAAGCACAGCATCCCTGCTTCCTGGAAGTCTCTCTCTCACCTGGATGTTGGTGTGTGAGATCTATATACCTGCAGGTACCATGCCATGAAAGCTGAGCTACTGAGGGTGTATTCAGAAGAGGCAACAAGGACCTGAATTTGACAGTAAAGGCATGCACCACCCACACAGCATAGCATGCTGATGACAACTGCCTTGTTTCCAGGGTGCAGGGGACATGGGTGGGACTCAAACCCACAATCCTAGGCTTTAGAGGCTGAATCCTTAACCATTAGTCCACTAGAACCTCCCTACTGGCACCTACTGCCAGCTCCGGCCCATGAGTCTCACTTACGAAGGGACTAATGAGTCTGCTCTACAGCCCGAGCTGAGCGCCAGCTGCTTTTCGCTCCTGCACTAGAGGCTCACGCACTAAGCTGCAGAGATCCTCAGTTCGATTCCACCTCCAGGACACTATGTTCCTGTAAAGCCTCGTTCCTTTGTGTGGCCCCCGTGCAGTGTTAAAGCTCCGGGCAGATATGTCTGAGTTTCATCAGCTGGCTGCCCGGGAGCTATAGTTCTCACAAGAGTGAGCATCACTTCAGGTACTAAGCACAATATGTCAGACACCATTGCTGGGTAGCTTGCTCTTCTAGGATCCCCATCTGCCTGTTGAAGAACAGATCCACAGATAACACCCTGGGGGCTGTAGTGGAGCTATTTAGAGACCAGTCTGTTCCTGCCTGGCGCAAACCGCTGACGCACTATTCCTTCCTCCGCGGGGCGGATTAGCTGGGCCTTGATGGCGATTCAGTGTTGATTCTCCTGCTGGCACGAGTCCCTTCCTGGTTCTTGCATTTCAGCTTCTCGTGGTCTGAAAGGAGGAATAATTGTGGGCCTGGCTGCAGACAGAAAAGCTGCCCAGTGTCAGCTGGACTTTCTTGCTTTGCAAGGTGGTTTCTTTTGAAGAATGCTACGTTCCTGTAAAACCGCGCTTCCTTTGTGTGGCACAGATGCAGTGTTAAAGCTCCATGTGGCTATATCTGAGTTTCATCAGCTGACTGCCCAGGATCTATAGTTCTTACCTACTACAGGACCTGCTTCCAAAGCTGAGAAGACCGATTTTCACCTAAAGACAGTGGGCTATTGGAAGTCCTGGGTTTAGATCTTAGTCTCGTGCCCATTGATGTCAATGGAAAGGGACTATTTACGTCAATGGGGCTTGGATTGGACCTGTCTTCATGGCCAGACGTGTTACGTTGAACTCGGCTCTTCACCAATGTAAAATCTCTGTCGTTTGGGTGGCGCCAGGAGGGTGTTGGTGCCAGTCGCTGTAATGATCCATGTCCCCTGCAGTCCTGAGTCAGACAGACAAGCATGTGTGCCTGCAAAGGATCTCACATTCGTACAGAAATAGCTGCTACATGCGTAAAGCGACACTTCGAGAATGTTGGGCGACCAGGTAAAGTCGGGGATGGGTGCATGGTAGAGCCATGAGTCAGCGCACACCTGTGCTGCACCTCCCAGTATGGACAGTGAACGAATTTGACAGATCTAGGTGTAAAACCCACCTCGTCTACAGCACTTTCCCCCCGGGAACAACGAGAGGATAAAAAACCAAAAAAGACTCAAATCTGGCCATGCAAAGTCACCCTTGCTCCCACATGGGAAAGGAGACTGTAAAACACCTTTCGTGCGCCTTTGTTTGGTTTGCTGCTTAGGACCCTGGTGCCTGGTCCTGTTTAAAAATCCTAACGCGGTAGAAAGAAAATTCACCCTCATCCAATGCTTCCAGACTCCTAATTAACAACTGAGAACAATTGACTAGATTAGGGAATAGCATGGTCTGCGGAGCATTGGGAAGCCAGGAAAGTTACAGCATAAGATGCTTAGCGAGACAGAGGAGCGGAACGAAAAATTGTGGCTAAAAGCCCTGCTCTCTTGTGCAGCAGCTTAGGTGCCTGGGAGAAGCTGTCTCTGGTTTCTCAGTGGTCTGGGACTGAAAAGAGGCCTCCAATGCGCTTTGTAAATGTCAGTTATAGACTCATAGACTCATAGACTCCAAGAACAGAAGGGACCATCATGATCATCTAGTCTGACCCCCTGCGCAGTGCAGGCCACAGAATCTCACCCACCCCCTCCTAGAATAATACTCTCACCTATAGCTCAGATATTGAAGCTTTCAAATACTTTGAAGACCCCAAGACGCAGAGAATCCTCCAGCTGTGATCTGTACCCCATGCTACAGAGGAAGGCGAAAACCCTCCAGGGCCTCTGCCAATCTACCCTGGAGGAAAATTCCTTCCCGACCCTAAATATGGCGATCAGCTAAACCCTGAGCATGTGGGCAAGCCTCACCAGCCAGACACCCAGAAAGTTCTCTATAGTAACTCCTATCATCCCTCCATTGACCTATTTCCCACTGATAATGAATAGTCAATTAGTTACCAAGATCATGTTATCTCATCAAACCATCCCCTTCATAAACCCATCTCGTTTAATCTTGAAACCAGATAAATTTTTTGCCCCCACTATTTCCCTTGGAAAGCCGTTCCAGAACCTCACTCCTCTAATGGTTAGAAACCTTTGTCTAATCTCAAGTCTAAACTTCCTACTAGCCAGCTTATATCCATGTGTTCTTGTTGTAACCTATTCACCTAGTGTGGGTCACTATCCCGTGTAGTGGCACTTAGGGTAGGGCGAGACGACAAGTTTTTGTCAGAAAAAGGTATGCAAAATGTGCTCTGCATTTTGCGTACCCTTTTCTGATTCTTTTGTCGGAAGAGGCTTTTCTGACATTTGGCCCGTCTAGACTGGGCCAAATGGGGGAAAAACCCCTTCTTTTGAAATCCCTCTTCTTCCTCGTAGAATGAGGAATACAGGGACTTCCGAAAGAGCGCAAAAAAAAGCGGAAGCGCAAACATGTTCCCTGGATGCGGCAGAGTTTTTTCAGGATGCCTCCGGTAGCCCAAAAAAATCCTGCAGTCTAGCCATACCCCCAGACCACTCACAGCAAGAGCTAAGAACAACAGCAATCTACAGCCTAAGCTGAGTGCCAATTGGCTTTATAACTCAAGCAAGTCCAGCAGTCCCAAGTTCAAATCCACCTGGTGGCAGTTACACAAGGAGAGCAAGCGAGAATGTTGAGATTTTGATCAGCATCCCCTCTTCCATGCCAGATGTTGTCAGAAATCCATAGCTTATATGACACAGTGCTGCCATGTCTCTCTTTGGTGGGCGGAGGGAAATTCTGGGCGTCTTCCTCCCTCCAAAATGATGCGAGAGAACAAGGCTGGAGAGCAACTCTTTGGGATTTCCCTGCCATGGCCTGGAAGACGGACCCAGCGGTCGTGGAGGGCTACACTCTGACCTCAGCAGGGCCCTCCACATTGCTTTCAAAGCTTCAATACGTTGGCTTCAGCAGAGCTTGAAGACGAATTTCTATGTCAGAAAAACCTACATTCAGACGGCTGCGGTCAAAGCACTGCTCTGCTCTCCCTTTCTTCACCCAGATGATAGGTTGGCGCCACTGGGGGTGTGTCCACACTAGGAAACTATTTAAAGTAACTAAAATCAATGTAATAACTCCAGAAATAACAAACTCAAAATAGCGTGTTCTCACTACGGCGAAGCCTCGAAATGAGTCCGAGGCAGGCTCCGTTAATGTGGACGCACTACCTTGACTTAGCGCCCCAGGAAGCACCGGGGAGTAATTAGTTCGAATGCCTCTGGGGAGTCGTTATTTCGAAACCGTGGCACCAGAGCATCCACCCTAATGCTATTTCGAAATAACGATTTCGGAATTAGCGTTCTTCCCTGAGGAAAGCAGGAGGACAGATTTCAAAATAACCAGTCCATTATTTCGAAATAGCAGTCTTGTTGTGTGGACGCTCCCCTTATACACTCGATCTAAGGGGAGTTGTTTCGAAATAACTCCCTAGAATAGAGCAGGACTGAGAGATCTATGGATGGGATAGAAAAATGATGCCCTTCCTTTAATTTAACCCTGCCTGTTCCATGCGGCCCTCCGCTTGACCTTTGCCTTTCCTGGCTGTACCCTGGGAGATTGACAAGTTCTGGTTTTGCTACTGACATCCCCAGCGATTATAGGTGTGGTGGACACTCACCCTCCATCCTGTCACTTCAAATGAAGTTTGTACGCACTGAGAGCCACACCCTGATCCGTGCAGTGAAAAGCAGCCCTCGTCTACTGTGCCGTTTCCAACCACACACACAATGAGGAGAGGCAACTGAGAACTCAGAGGTATGTGCCGCTCTGGGTAGGACTCCCTGCCTTTGTTTTCCATGGAACCTGTTGTTTTCTTTGACGAGGGGCAGGCTGTTTGCTATAGGAAATGCATGACAGCCAAAATGATTCTAATGCTCAAATCGCTGCACATACGCTAGCACTAAAATCAGGCAGCAGGTTCCTTAACGCAGGTCAGGCCAATTTCAGCTGGTGTCCGTATCTTTGAAAAGGCACATCATTTGAACGGGTGTCTGCGTTATTTCCTAACCTCCTGCAGATACGTTTGGCATCTTTTGATATTGCAATTAAATATGATGCCCCTAAAATACATTTGATTTCTCTTTGCGGCTGTGCACAGACTCGACAGTGCAGACGGATCCCAAGAGAGCGGTCACAGCAATGGCACCTGGACACGGAGGGCTGGGTTTGCTTCTTCGGATTGGTGAGTAATATTATTTGGGTGCACAACCACCCTCTATGATATCCTTCCAAAGGGCTCTTATTGAAGCAAATCTCTTCTGAAATAGTATTTTCTCCCTGGAAAACACTATGGTAAAAGATCACTTCCAAATTCTTTTGATTGTTGCTATAAAAAATTACTAAATCGCCAGCCTTTTGTTGCTATTATTTATTGTAACACACAATCAAAATATGTTAGGCTCTTTAGTAAACAAATAGAAAGGATATGGTCATAGATTCTTGTGTGTCTTATTTTTAAAGAGTCATTGCTATATGCATATCTGTCTCTCTCTTTCACTCTCTGACACTTGTTTCGGTGGCAAGGAACGTCCTGAAAAGCATTCACTGAAGAAACGATTCGTCCAATAGGGTACAACTACACAGCAGCGTTATTTCAGAATAACATCTGTTATTCCGAAATTACTATGCAAGCGTCTACACAGCTAGCCGGTTATTATGAAATGATTTCAAAATAATGAGCATCTTATTTCGGCATTTGTGAATCTCGTTCCACAAGGAATAACGCCTCTTCCGAAATAGCTATTTCGGAATAGCAGTAGTGTGGATGCTTCATTGCTGCTATTTCGAAATAGCGCCTCCTCCAGGCCATTCAAAGTAATTACTCCCCAGGGCTTCCTGGGGCTCTAAATCAAGGTAGAACGTCCACATTTGGGGAGCCTGACTTGGACTAATGTCCAGGATTCCCTGTAGTGTAAATGCACTATTTCAAAATAAGCTATTTTGGAGTATTTCTTTTGGAATAGCTTATTCCAAAATAAATCTGCCGTGTAAATGTAGCCTATCTGATGCTTTTTGTATTCCTCTACTCCCAATTTTTTTGCTACTTAAAGGATGTTTGCCCTATTGGCTTCTTTAAAATTCATCTGCACTTTTCCCTTAATTTCACACCTGAAGTTATGATCATGTTTGTGTTATCACAGTCGTCACTGGAGGTTTTTAGGAACAGGTTGGTTAAACACCTGTCGAGGGGGTTCTAGGTTTCCGTAGTCCTACTTAATGACTTCTTGAGTGCCTTTCCTGCCCGACATCTCGATGATGCTAGGATTTATTTTTTTTTATAACTCCATCAGCACCAGAGATAATGTCAGGCGGGATATTTAGATCTGGAGTTTGATTGAGACACAAACTTTCTAAAAGTTTGGTGAGGTTCGACCGTGATGTCTCTGCCATAGGTCTGTCTCTATAGTAATATGGTTCACATCACAACCAATGATAAAGCCAGCTAAGAATATTCACAGAGTCCTTGGATGCGTTAGTACTAGAGAGATGTAAACATTGTAGTGGAAACAGCAACTGGATTCTGTGTACCAGCCGCACCATGGGAGATGAATTGAGTATTACCTGTATTTGGGTTTCTTGGGAAGCTGAGGTCTTCATTACAGTCTGGGAAACTTTTGTGCTCAGAGTCCATGACAAATAAAAACCATGAGCCTAGAAGAAGAACATGAGTAGCACCACCCTATTGACGTCAATGAGATTCCTCAAGTGCTCAAAAACAATGAGTAGTCCTGTGGCACTTTAGAGACTAAATACACACACACACACACACACACACACACACACACACACACACTTCAGAGGGGGGCCGAGTTAGTCTGTAACTAGAAAAACTTAAAAAACAACCAATAGGCTAGTAGCACCATAAAGATTAACAAAACAGGTAGATGGTGTCATGAGCTTTTGTGGGCACAGCCCACTTCTTCAGATGACTGGAGTATTAAAAGTCCAGATCCAAGAATAAATAAGGGAAGTGGGGGGAGGAGGGGAAAAAAGGAGAAAAAAGACACGCTTTCGTGGGCAAAACCCACTTCTTCAGAGGAGCTTGAGCCAAGAAAAAAGCCCCGGGGGACTCAGAATGATAACAGAAAATGAAGGGGGGGATGGGGAAGTACCTGTCAATTGTAATGCCGGTGCTAATGAGGCTGATTGAGTAGGCTGGGAGTGTCCCCTGCTTAGCTTTTGATGTCAGTGAGGTGTGGAAGGTACGGAAAGCTCATTTCATAATGGGCCATCCCAGTCAAGTTAAAGTTAAAGTTAAGCATCTGCTTATGAGATTTCTAAGATCAAGGCAGGGGCTCAGATACACGCCCTTTGCATACCTGAGCCCAAAGGCAGCACTGAAGAAAGGGTTGTAATGTTTATGTCCCCATCTCTATTTCCAACTACTTCGGAGCAGGCATTAGTGCTTCAAAGCCATCCTCTGGCAAAGAAATACTCACGTATTTGCTGTTGCATACAAATCTTCAGAGCTTTCTCTCGTAGGAAATGTGTACCTAGGGGAAAGTTCCCCCTTTTGGCTATGGGACATGATACCTCAACGATAGCACTTCATGTAATCATCCAAAAGGTGTGGCACTTGATGACATGAATGAGAACAGCCATTGTAAGTTAGAATACTTGCCGCCCAGGCGAGTACAGTAATTAGGGACCCTTCGTTAACCTCAGTGAACTCTGGGCCTGGTCATAGAGGAAGACCAGACCTATTTGGTCATCTAGTAACCCTCACTCCTTTCACCCCATCCATCCCAACGATTTCGTTCCCCAGGGCACAATCTTCATTGGCCAATCTCCAAGGCCCTCCCCCGTCTGGCTGTAAAAGCCTCAAGCCACGGGCAAACAGGAAACCAGCAACAGGAAATTGCTTCTCACCAAGTAGCTTAAATTTCCCTTTGCTTGGTTTCACCTTGTAACTGCTAGATTTGTCCCCTCTGGCTACCCTGAACAATTCCTCTCCTTCATGCTTCAGGCTGTAAGAAGGCAGGTCGCCACCCCGGGGATGAAGAAATTATTTCCGAGGACATTGATACTGTGTGAGACTAGGGCGCATCAGGAAGTCTTTTCTGGCCTTCCTCCTAGAGGAAAATGCCTGGGGGGCCAGTTCTTCCCCAGTCTTCCCGTGTGGCCTTGGTCATGCCACTTAATCCTGTCTGACCACAGTTCCCCGCAGTGGGTGTGGTGGGAGTGATTTTGAATAATGCAGGAGCCATGCTGGGCCGGGAAAAGGGAAGAAACAGTGGGTGCGGTGGGAATGATTTTGAATAGTGCAGGAGCCATGCTGGGCCGGGAAAAGGGAAGAATAATTCAGCACTGAAGACAAGGTTGTGGACCAGATGGTCGGCCGATCTGCTCGTGTGTAGCAGGAGGCAGGGTCCAGGACTAGATAGCGTGTCCTCGAGCATCTCAGTTACTCAGAGTTACTCAGCGTGTAGTCAACCTGTGGAACTCCTTGCCACAGGAGGCTGTGAAGGCTAGGACTATAATAGAGTTTAAAGAGAAGCTAGATAATTTCATGGAGGTTAGGTCCATAAAAGGCTATTAGCCAGGGGATAAAATGGTGTCCTTGGCCTCTGTTTGTCAGAGGCTGGAGAGAGATGGCAGGAGACAAATTGCTTGATCGTTGTCTTTGGTCCACCCTCTCTGGGGCACCTGGTGCTGGCCACTGTCGGTAGACAGGATACTGGGCTAGAAGGACCTTTGGTCTGACCCAGTACGGCCGTTATTATGTTCAGAGGGGACAGTGAGGCAGGGCTCTCTGGTGCACTGCTCTGGCAAAAAGGTGCCGGCCGGCTGGAGCGCTCCGCCGCAGCAGGAGGCAGATGAGAGACTCCCAAGCAGGCTCCTGGAGTTCTCCCACAGGCTGGCCTGCTCCTGGGAGGGAGTCACCCACATCCCAGCCTGTGCTGCTGCTCCTCTCTCCCCGCCCTGGCTGGACCCGCCGGGCAGCGCAGGAACACGAGCTGCGTGGGCCAGAGACCCAGCCACAGCAGGTCACCTGGCTGCAGGTGGGACAGGCCCAGGCTTGCCCCGAGCCCCTGTACCGGTCCAGGACTGTCCCAACCTCTCCTCCCCCAAAGGGGTGCCATTTAGAGAGGGCAGGAGGGGCTGAACCCCTCTTCCCCCATTTCCCTTCCCCGAGATTTGTACCCAGATGCTGCTTGTTCTCCTTCCTGTCACTATCAGGGAGGGAGAGGAAGGCCCCCCACAAACCCTCTGCTCTGAGCACTTCCTCACACACCCCAGCCTTGACTCCTGCACTCCCCCATGCACCCAGCCCCCTGTCCTGAGCCCCCCATCCCGTCCTGCGCCCCCCACATCTCAATCCCATGCCCTGAGCTGCTCTTCGCCCCCCAGTCCTGATTCCTGCACCTCCCCCACACCCTTAGCTCCTTATCCTGAGCCTCCCCATCCCTTTGCCCTGACTCCTGCACCCTCCGCACCCCAACTCCCTGCCCTGACGCCCCCCCCACTCCACTCCACACTTACATTTCTTACAGGTACTGTCATATCCCCTTCCCCCCACACACAACCTCCTGCCCTGAGCCCCTCCCCCTCCCTCGGGAGGGTTGCAATATGGTGCTTGTGAGAAACGGAAGCAGCTTTCACCCCTGCAGTTCCTCTGTGGGCTGGTCCTGCACCCCTCGAATTCCCTGGCAAGTCTCCCCCGGACTCCAGTGGACTGTGGCTCAGGCCCACAGGTTGGAGTCTGTCTGGGTATGTCTACACTACCCCGCTAGTTCGAACTAGCGGGGTAATGTAGGCATACCGCACTTGCAAATGAAACCCGGGATTTGAATTTCCCAGGCTTCATTTGCATAAGCGGGGCGCCGCCATTTTTAAATTCCCGCTCGTTCGAACCCCGTGCCACGCGGTTTCACGCGGCACAAACTAGGTAGTTTGAACTACCGTTACTCCTCGTGGCTACACGCGGCATGGGGTTCGAACGAGCAGGGATTTAAAAATGGCGGCGCCCCGCTTATGTAAATGAAGCCTGGGAAATTCAAATCCCGGGCTTCATTTGCAATTGCAGTATGCCTACATTACCCTCCTAGTTCGAACTAGCGGGGTAGTGTAGGCATACCCCATGGCTGCAGGGCATTGGTTAACATGGCTCTTCCTGCTTAGTGTCCTGGCAGTCTCCCGGCTCTGGCTTCTGCCTGGCGTGAAGCGACTGGTCCGACGGGG